GTATGTCCCTTACTTTTATTATTCTGAAGAATTTACGGAATTGTTCAGTAGCAAACAGCAGAGTTCTAGAGGCAACATGGAGTTATACAAAATAACAAGTAAACATATAAGACATTAGCTTTGAAGAGGGTCTTGTGAACAAAATAAACCATGTAGTTAGATCAAGAGTTGTAGGTAAAGGAGTTCAGTTAAGCTTAGCTTTCTGATTAGGTAGCATTCAAACAGAAACCAAAAAGAATGAAAAGAAAACATCTAACACTTTGTGTATTATATAATGAATGCCAAATACATTTTAAGGCTCAATGTTAGTTGAGAAGGGTCTTGCCATTCACTACATACTTGAAATATATAATAGATTTATCCTGAAGGAAAATTCCATGCATTGTTAAACGAATGAGATATAACAAAAAAATGAAATTTTGTTTGCAATTTCACCAAGAGAAATGGCCTCTTAGTGATATCAACAGAGAAAAAATAGATGACTTCATATAATAACAATCGCTCAATAGAGGACTGCAAACAACTTGCTGGTCTCCCAACTTCATTTTAAACAACAGTAAAGGTCAATCTTCAGAAAAAAAAGTTTTCATGCCTAATTGTCAGCTGTGAGACAGAAGTTGCTGAACATTGTGACAAGACAGAGGTCCCAGGAAGTATTCTTACATGATCCCCAAACTGCACAACACAAACTGATAAGCTGAATGTTGGACTGTTGACTTGTTCTTCATTTAAAATCAGACACTAATATTTATTCAGTGACATTTTAATGATAACATCACATCCCAACTAATACTTTCTTATTTAAAGTATAACTTACCTCATGCTGCAAAAGTGAAAGGTGACATTCGTCTTAGGAATATATTATGCCTTAAATTGATCTCTCCTGTTTGCCAATTCCAACTCCCCGGTCTAACCTCCAGCTTTGTAGACCGCCTGCTGTCTAGGCCCATTTCCTTTTTCTCTGCCCCTGTTCCTAGTGGACTATCTTTATGAAAGATGTGTGTGTGTGTGTGTGTGTGTGTGTGTGTGTGTGTGTGTGTGTGTTTGTATACAGATGTTAGCTGCCCAGGATTTCATGGTTTATTAACAAGTATATCACCAACAGTGATTATATTTCCTGTGTCTAACACACATTACACTAGTGTAGGCCTGAACACAAGGATCCCTCAAGGTTCTGTGAAAACTGACAGGCAGGCATCTCTGCTATGTCCCCTAGGTCATGATGTACACACAAAGAACAGACAGCCAGGATAATGAAACTGTAATTGCATGTACCAGATGCTGCAAATGTGGGCAGCAAGCCCTGAGGAATTACATTCCCTGGATATATGTGAGCAGAGTAGAACACTGTCAAAGAAAACTGATTTGTTTTTTTCTCCAAGATGATGTTTCTCTCCAAGACGATGGTGAGAAAATGGTGGAAAATAGCTTCTTCACATAACAACACATTGTATTTTTAATAACTTTTTTTTTGGTGCATGGGAGTATAAAAGATGTTCCTGTTTTCCATTTAGGTGGCCAATCAGCCACTCCATCTTTCTGAGCTGAAAAGAGCTAATTCCGGGCTGCATTTTGGTGCATGAGCTTCTAGTAATATTTTTTCTGTCTGAACTTCTGAATATAAGTTCAGTTTCCATCTCCTTCTGTCAAGTTATTATATTTTGATATAACAAATTATTTGTTTCAGTTTTGTATTTTGAAAAACACCATGACACAGATATATGTATCACATTAACCAAAAAACAGTTTTTGCAAATTACTGTGTAATGGAGTTTCTGGTTTAAATTTTATTGTGAATCACTTCTTCTGCTCTACAGCTTTCCTCCTGTCTCCAGAAATTTACCTAATGCTGGGACACTAAATAATTTCTATACTTATTTTAAATAAACACACTTTCCTTTTTCTTTCTTTGTTTCCTATAGTCTCAAAGTATTGTTTTCTGTAACTTCTTTGAAGGAGTATTAAACTTCTTAGGAGAAGTAGTAGAATGAGAAATGATACTAAAATCACTATGGAAAGGATAATACCACTCTACAGTAATTTATACCATTCATTTTGAAGTAGCTCCAAATATTCTTTTCCAAAATTTAAAAATATCTCAACTTGCATTTTATGGGTCTCATTGTGATAGTTAAAATACATTATATTTATTATAATAACAGGATGATTATATCATATCATATTATTATATTATCAAGATAATTAGCATATCTATGTCCTCAAGAATTTGTGATTTTTTTCTGTGTTGAGAGGCATCCAAACTCTGTTATGTCAGCTATTTTGAAATAATTGATTGCAAAGCGCAGTCGCCTCACTGTATCATCAAACATTCACAGCTTCTCCTTCCATCTCATTGAATCTTTTATGTGTCAACTCTTCCTTCTATATCCTTCTATAGTCCTACTTCTCTGGAGCATCTGGTAACCATTTTTCTACTCTTTACTTGTATGAGATCACTTTTGAGGCTCCACAGATGAGTACCACATTTGTCTTTCTATCACTGAATAAACCATTTCAATAAAAACATGTCCTCTGTGCTCAGCCATGTTACTGTAAGTATCAAACCTTCATCCTTCATCCATATTTATGGCCAAATAATATGCCAATATGGTCTTCTAGTAATGGACACCTAGGCTGATTCCAGATCTTTTCCATTGTGACCAGTGATCCCACAAACATGGACCTATTGCAGTCTCTGACAATACAATGTGCTGAATTTGCCCATCAGTGACAGCACTTTCTGCAGGATTGTGTAGGCTGTGTGTAATGATATCCCATCACTTTGCTCTCTCCTGTTTGAATCTTTCCTTCCTCCCTCCCTCTCTCTCTCTCTCTCTCATTCTTTCTTTCTTTTCTTTTTCTGGCCATCACGGCCAGAACTTTCAGTACTGTTACACAAAAGTGATGACAATGGTCACCCTTATCTCACCGCTCATGTTAGAGGACACTCTGGATGCTGCTCAGTTAAATGGGGAAAGAGCTGTGGTGTGTGAAGATTTAATTTGCGGCTTAACATTTGGCCTACACTAGAGAATTTTCCACCTGTAGTTGAAAAGCATGTGTATTCAGCAGGGGCAGGATGGACATATATGGCCAATGCTACATTGCTGAACTTTTGCCCAGTTTCAGATGTGGAATGTTAATGTTCCCCTCTTATTTAGTTTCAGTCCATTTCCCCTCGTTGTATCCCCAGAATGATATTTGTTTTATAGTTATTGGTACTTGAGTACCAATTCATATACATTCATATACATATATGACCACAATTGTTTGATTTTCTTCATAAATTGATCGTTTTACAACTAAATGATTTGTGTGTGTGTGTCTGTGTGTGTTTGTTTTGACAAGTTTTTTTTTTGTAAAATCTATTTCATCTGTCCAGCATAACTACCATGACCTGCCAGTGACTGTTGCTGGGGAAATTAAATCTAATTCAAGATTGAACAGAACCAGAGGATCACAGAAGATATTGCAGCTCAAGAGCCCTTTACTGGGCTCCTCTGAAGCTTTTATTCCAAAATGTCTCAGGGTTAAAAGCAGAGGTGAGAAGCAATGATAAATATACAGAGCACCTCCCATCGCTATCTCCAGATATGTCCAGGATACACTGTCTCACGGCTGTTTGCACAATGTCCTTGAGTGTCTAAGCTGCATTGCTAAGGAGCAGGAGAGGAAATACTTTGCTTTCTGAATTCCTTCAGCACATGGAAGCATTCCTTGAGGCATTCCTCCCTGGGAAGTAAACAAGGACTCTGGAAACAGGTTCATGCAGCTGTATAGTGTACAGAAGTCTATTACATGCACATGTTTTCCCCCTTTCTGTGAACTCATTCAGAGCAATACAAAGGGCATATGCTATATGGCGTTCATGAAGTATGAAAAACTGTAGAGTAAAATTAAAATCAAATGCCTGCCAGTGATCCCAGAAAGGGAAGGAGCCAAGAAAACCAATTACACCAGCTACTCCAGGAGGTCACGATTTTATTGATGTCCTTGAGGAGTTGGTCCAACTGTTGTGGGACTAGCTGAGCATCTGTAATATTGAAGCACACATATCAGGAAACTGTTCATAGGCAATGAGATATCTCAGCAGTAAATAATCAATGGCAGCTCAGTTTTTGTAAAACCAGTATTTGGAGGCCTTTATTTCTGTATCTAATTGTCCTAAGAGAGAATCGGCAGCACTGACAGTTTTGCTGATGAAGTCGCAGTTAATTGGAAGATTTGCCGCTGAAAGTGCATTATCAGTCCTCTTGCTAGAAGCCAGAAAGCAGCTACCATTTGGCATAAGTTTAACAGTTGCAGGTGGTCATTGCTAGTAGACAGCAAACTTCCAGTCACTCTGTTTATGTCAGCTAAAGAGTGCAACAATGGAAAAACTCTGCCAGTGGAGCAATATCCTGAGAATCTGAATGGCAATGTCCAAAAAGCTGTGTGGTTACATAGAAAGGCAAAAACCTATTTCCTTCCATAATACAGTTAGGGTCTCTTGTATTCACTATTTGGTACAATCAATACATAAGCAATGGACCTGTACCCAAAAGGCAGTGGGTAAGGCTGAGTAAAATGTCATAATTGAATCACCTTGTGAAGTGACATTAGCACTTGTGACATTAACATAGTCATTATACCTTATTGACAATCAAACCAGATTCTTTGAGATGATAAACTGATTGTCCCTCCTGACATAAAGTGAGGTTTTGTATGTGGTATCTGTAGCCATTTTGACCTCAGAATTTGTTGATTAAGAGTAACAGCGGGTCCAAATAAGAAAACTGACATACAACCATCTGCAGGTCCACCTCTTCTTCCTTCAGTGTGTTCCATCAACGGTCCAGGAGGACTTCAAGGACCATGTCGTATTCCGCCACCAAAGTCACCTCGGTCCAAGAGACAGGCACCTCAGAAGCCACCTCTATCTCTACTTCTGCCACCTCAGAACATTTCTCCAGGAACACCACAGTCCGTTGAAGAAACGAAGC